AAAAAAAAAAAAAAAAAAAAGGAAAAGGGAGGAAAAGGAAAAAGCGAACAATATTTGAGCGAATATTATGTATGCTAATAACTTTAAGTACATTTCAGGCTGGGACTGGTGGCTAATGCCTGTAATCCTAGCATTTTGGGAGGCCAAGGTGGGAAGATCATTTGAGCCTAGGAGTTTGAGACCAGCCTGGGCAACACAGTGAGATACTGTCTTTACAAAAAAATTTAAAAATTAGCCGAGCATGGCAGCATGCACCTGTAGTCCCAGCTATTTGGGAGGCTGAGGTGGGAGGATCACTCGAGCCCAGAAATTCAAGGCTGCAGTGAGCTAAGATGATGCCACTGAACTCTACCATGGAATCACAGAGTAAGACTCTGTCTCAAACAAACAAATAAACAAAAACCAAGAACTTTAAGCACATTTCATTTTACTCTCTTAAAAAATGACAACAAAAGCCTTTAAGGTAAATGTTCTCAGCCCCATTTTTCAGCTGCTAACTCAAATTTAAGATATTTGCTAAAAATCAAGGCAGATTTTCAAAAGACTTCCAATTCCAAAGCCCATACGTCACACACAGATGTATCCTTAAAACCATGATACATTTCCTAAAGTGTCCATTTTTGCTTGAGAATAACAAAACACACATTAAAAGAAACATAATGGATGAGAATTTAAAAGTCTCATAAATTTTAAAAGTAAATAAAACTGGCAAATTCAAAGGTATTTTCTGATTGTTAGAGGAGACAGCTTTGGATTATGGCCCCATATCTTAAGAGGTATGTGACTCATATTGACCATCAGAGGTAATGTCAGAAAGTCTTTCATGTTATAAAAATGTATTCAATGCCTGCTAAGTGCCAGACATTATTAAAATCTGGGATATAGTAACGAATAAAATGGACTTATCCGCTTGGAACTTGTGCTCTAACAAAGGTGTGATTGTTATAAACAAATAATTATTTAAAAATATGAAGCCTGCTACAGAGAAGTATAGGGCGCTATACAAAGTATTGTGGGGAAAAGTTTGAGAAACACCATACCACACAGGCAATCTGGGAGACATAATTTTGTGAATAAAACTGACATTATGTCATTAAAATACATCCTTGGAGGTCCCTGATCTGTTTCTGAAGACCACACCCAGGACACTGTCTGAAATCTAATCTGTGTTTAATAGTGTTACTGGGCTAGAAGACCAAACCCAGAACAGTGTCTGGTATCTAATCTGTGTTAAATAAGTGTTACTGGGCTGGATCAAAAAATTTTGAGGTAGTCACAATTCAGTGTCAAAGTGTATATAAACACGGCCAGGTGCGGTAGCTCACGTCTGTAATCCCAGCACTTTGGGAGGCGGAGGCGGGTGGATCACGAGGTCAGGAGATCAAGACCATCCTGGCTATCATGGTGAAACCCGTCTCTACTAAAAATACAAAAA